CAGACATATCCGTAAAAAAAAACAAAGAAGGGAAACCAGACACAACCAGACAAATGTTAGAACCAATCCAGGTGTATTGAAGTTGGAGGCAGGCAGCAAGCAAGAAAAAAAAAAAAAAAAACAGAGGATGCCCTCGATTCCCTCGAACAGAGGAACCAATCCACGTGTCCGCAGCCCACGAACCAGCTCGTCAGATAGGAGGGATTCGGACTGAGCGGACGGGAGAGTGTGCTTGGCGTACACCTCCCACAGCACAGCCCGTTCCAGCCAGGTGGAGAGTTGTGCCGGGCGTACCCAGCGCAGCACGCAAACTTAGGAAAGCGTGGGAGAGGGGAGCGCTCGGAAGGTGCTCGGCAAGCTCTGACCAGTGGGCGGGGGGAACACAGTCGGCAGAGAGCAAACCTCGTCGTTGACTGCTGTGCAGAAGTGGAAGGGAGTGTGGCCCGGCGTGCTTGTAGCGGATGTGCGGCTAAGGGATGATCGCTGGAGTTGAGCAGTGGGCGCAAGCACTCCCAATCCTCACCACGGAAAGCTGGGAACTCGCGTGGTCCGTGGGTTACCAGCAAGGGAGGAGGACACGTCGAGTGAGCATAACAGGCAGGAGAGCGCATAAGGCATGCTCATCTCTTCTGGGCCATCGAGAGAGCTTGAGTGACTCAGGCTCAGCCTGTAAGCGGGCGTGTAACATTGGTGGTGAGGAAGGGGGAAATCTTCTTTGACAAGCCAGGGGTCCTCCGCGCGCTGGTACTCGGCGTGCGTGAAAGGGAACGGTCAACGGGAGAGAAAGACGAAGGAGGAGAGGGGCAGTGAGTGAGGAGGAGCTTGGGGAAACTCGCCCACTCCGGCAAAGCTGATCTCAGCATAAGTGTGACCGCGTTTAGCTCGGTCCTAACAAACGCGAGAAATGGTACAGCCAAGAAATCAGAACTCAAGAGATCACAAAGGAGGGATACTTGTGGGTAAACAGGTGGGTGGCGATCTGAGTACACGAATCAGGTACAGCGATGAAGTAAGTTTACCGTACTCGCATGCCTTCTAAGCAAGTGCGCTGTGAGTAGTTACCTGGGATTATTACGTGAAGAAGAGCTGTGCGAGGACCATGCGGCGATTGAGATTGACTGGTATTTAATTGGCTGCGTTTCCCCCCTGGGAAAGGGCATAAGCACGAGTGAATGGCAGGCACTCGATCGGGAGTGATTCTCTTCGGAAAGGGGCACTGATTGACTCATTCTTTTACCCTTGATATGCTTCCATAGTAGAAAAAGTGAAGATGATTCTTACTCGCTGCCAATCCAACAACTTGTCAGAAAGTGGTAACCGGGTGCCCGTAGTTGGGTGACGGAAAGAGAGTTGTTCTCTGCCCTGTAGAAAGCAACATTAGGCTGCCTGTGAATGACTGTGGTTTGATTGACTGCCGCCCCTTCCTCGAAGGGGCGTAAAGTGAGTTATTTTGTTTTATTTTTGTTTTCGAAATCGACAACATATGCGACCAAGTGCATCTTGGTGACCAGATACATCGGCCCTCACAGCAGCCGCGGACTTGGGGGAAAGAGTTGTCCCAATTCGCTGCAACTAAACACTTTAGTCCTGGTGGCGAACATGTACGGTGGGGCTGAGAGGGATCGCGCGCCCATCGAACTGGTAGGAAGCTGGAATCAAGTAGGCGAGAAAGAGTTGAAAGAGTGGGTAAGTGAGCGAGTGAATGAGCGATTAAGCAAACGAGTGAATGAGTGGGTAAGTGAACGAGTGAGAGAGTGAAAGTGGGAGAGAGAAACTAGACATTCAGAGGGTGAGAGAGAGAGAGCAGAGAGGCAGGGGGAACAAGAACAGGGAAGAAAGGAAAGTTTAAAACAGGCTTGTTTCGTCTCGCTGCTATTGGTTCAACGGTATTTTTGTTTGATGTTGTGACCTGAGCCTTTTTTGGCTCACGATTAACCCGTATTGTCCGCTGTAAAACTGACCTTACTTCGGCTCTCCCCTACCCTCGCTGAGTACTATGAACTGAGCCTTGTTTGACTCGCGATTGCCCTTGCTGTTCGTTGGGGATCAGGCTTAGTTTTGACCCTCTATTACTTCTGATGATTGTTGTGGATCGAGCAATGCTTTGGGGCCACGGTTACTCTTCGTGATTACTGCGTATAAAACTGTATCTCGGCTTGCGAATAGCGTGACCCTGGCATACTTGAGAAGAAGGCGCGGCAAACTAAATGACCGCTGTTACCCCCGCAGGTCGCCGAGGACCTCTGAAGCGGGCACGGCGAGTGACAGGCGCCGTAGCCCTTGGCTTCAGCGAACTGCGGATGCCCCTCCCCGGGTTTCCTCACACCAGCACCGGTCACCTGAACGTGACCTGCCGGCCGGTCACCGGGCCTAAAAACCGTGAACGGCCATTCACGTGATTTCCGCCCACGTGGACGACGGTGTGGTCGGAATCGGGGCGGGAGGGGGGTGGTGCGGGGTCCTTCTACACCCCCGTACCTTATATCT